TCATGCTTATCAGAAAAATTCACTAGGCGTGAATGCAGAATTTTTTCTAGCCCTTTCGAAAAGACTGATAATATTGAAATCGGCCTGTAGTTGCCTATGTCATTCCTATCACCCTTTTTAAACAAAACACTGACCTTTGCAATCTGCATTCTTTTACGAAATACCCCGTGCTGTAAGCACAAATTAAAGATATGGGTCAAAACGGGAGATATGAGATCTATAACATATTTTATGGGACTTATCTGCAGGTCGTCGGGGTCGCAACTTGTACTGTTTTTTCGCGATTGAAATGTCCTCGTCACTTCCATTTCTACAGCAAGCTCAAGAAAGATCGAGCTCACATTTCCACGATGAATATATGCGCAAGCGTTTTCGTTAGGGGTTTCTCTAACTAAGTGTATGGGTAGTCTGCGCCAAGCCCGTGCCAAAGGACCAGTTTCGGTCGCTTTTCAAAACTGAAACTAAGCTGAGAGCCGTAATTGAGCATGCGTGACTTAGTTTGCGCACGACGCCGCCCAACACTAAATGCCCCGCATCAATCGTTCACCCGATGACCCCCCCCCCCCCCCCCCTCCTTACATCGTTTTTCCCGCCGTCTCACGTATCGCGCTCTCGTGTCGTCTCGGGGCTCTTGTCCAATAGTCTCGTCTCGCGCCTTTTTCAATTTTTTCCAACGATAGACGCAGGGGTGTGCGGACGCTCTGACGCTAGTGTGCCGGGTGCCAGCCATGCTGTCATGCTGTGAAACAAAACCAATTTTTTTTTTTTTCCGCGGCGAGAGTTACTTTGTGAGCTGAAGCACGAGCGCTACCACAATCACCGTGGTCGCGCGACGTAGGGTGTTGCCCTCCCCACGTCGCTGCAGATATGGCGCTTTCTAAACTGAAACTTAGTATACTGCCGCGTGTTTATCAACATTCCTGCTCTTGCTTAGATCATACGCTACTACCAAAGTTCCTCGTTTCAAAGACTGCTTGTCGAAGTATTGATTACCTAGGTTTCTCTCGGTGGGATTTCTTTCAAAGGGGACCCCGGTACGTAAAAAATCTGCCGCCAAAAAAAGTTAGTGAAGAGAAGTGAGCTACAGTAAAGGAGGCAATGTCTGCACGCTGAACCCGCACAGCGCGCTCGTTTGTCACTAGTTCAGTCATTGGACAAAGCGCTCCAAGAACGTTTTGACCCTGACTCGCGATGCCATATATCGATGCGCTCAGGTTCTTGTTTTCTGAGTGTTTAGCTTGTACCTCGCATGCCCGCCTGGCAAGCGCGCGCCGCTGGACTGTTTCTTTTTTTGTTTGGTTTGTGTGTGTGTGTGGGGGGGGGGGGTCGTATGCTAGACAGTTACATTTTGCATACAATTTTGGGATCCAGTAGTCGGGGAGCGGAGTGGCATGGCTTCGGTTTCGATCGAACAGCCGTTGTCTCCGCTCACACAACGAAGCACGCACAACTGCAAGCCTGCCAATGTTACCCTTACGTGCATGACAGCATGGTTGCACGAAAGAGGCACCAGCCGGGACGCCTGCAATCTATTGTTTTACGTTTGCTTAATTTAGGCGAAAATATGGCACGTCCGGAACCAGTAAAACGGTGGCAAGCGGATTTTCGGAACTGCTCGGCAACGCCTACAGCACTATACACGTGTGGGATGTCTCAGCAGTAAAAACACAAGCAGCGAGTTCCGTCACAACACGTCACATCACATCAAAACACATCAGAAAGTTCCCTCCGTTTCTCCAGCACTGTAAACAATTACTTTTATTTTTCTAAGAAAAATATCTTCTCCAAAATCCACTTTTGCTGCTCCGAAACACAGTTTTGGCTGCTCCAAAAGCCCTTTTTGCTGCTCCAAAACTCTGTTTTGGCTGCTTCAAAGTCTATTTTTCCTTCTCCAAAACACTGTTTAGGCTGCTCCAAATCCAAAATGGGTTAGGGTAGGGTGCCTCAATGTCCTTCTGTTAAGGGTGATGCCACCCTTTGTAGTACCCGATGCCGACAGCACGCGCTCACGGGTAAAATACAAAGAAATTGATGAAAACAAAATGTCGCCATAGCACACTCAGCGCCACAAACGCGTGCAGGGACACGCTCTTTCACGCGCTTTTGAACAAAAAAGAAAAATTAATGTGTGGGACAAAATGGCGAGATGTCTCCACCCTAAGCAAAGCGCACATGAAGGCACCCTAGGTTAGGGCAGTCACATCACTGCGCTCCCCAAGCTTCAGCATTGCGCCTCTTAGTACACTGAGAGCTATGAGCGCTACCTTTGTTCGCTTGGCGCGTACGGCGCGAGGAAGCTTGCCGCCAGTAGCAGCTAAAGCGCGCGCCAGCGCGCGCTTTAGCTGCTACTGCAGGCGAGCTTCTTCGCGCAGCACGCACCAAGCGAGCAAAGATAGCGGTGATACCTCTCAGCGCACCAAGGCCTCGCCGAGAGGCCATGAAAGTTATAGTGGTTCGATAACCCCTTTCTCTGGCCGAAGCCTCTTCTGCGGACTGGCAAACGATTCACCGCCGTCATCACCTAACGCCGGGCTCTAGTATTCTAAAAAAAAATAGTCCGAGTGCAGGCGAGCTGGTGTAAGTTGAACATGATTGTAAACCTGAGGACTGGGGCAGGAAGAGAACACAACAGAAGGTAGTAAAAGAGGAGGCAACGTCTCAATTAAGTTGAACATGATTGTAAACCTGAGACTGGAGCAGGAAGGGAACACAACAGAAGGTAGTAAAAGAGTAGGCAACGTCTCAATTTAAGTTGAACATGATTGTAAACGTGAGAGTGGGGCAGGAAGAGAACACAACAGAAGGTAGTAAAAGAGGCGTCAACGCCTCCTCTTTTACTACCTTCTGTTGTGTTCTCTTCCTGCCCCAGTCTCAGGTTTACAATCATGTTCTAGTAATCTGTCGCCTAAATCGAACTCGGAGCGTCCGCCATCGCCGAACGCGGACTACACATGACCGCCCAAGATGGCCCGCCGAGTAAGTTGCCCAATCCTACCTCTGGAGGACAATAAAAATATCCTTAGGCCCCGAAGTGGTTTCGCGCTCGCCGCACTACCTGAGATAACGCTTATCCGAAAATTCAAAGTACCGCCGGCGTCCCTTCGCCAAGTGCAATGAAAAATCGGATCGAGTTATGCGGTACCCCCAAACTTTGTCAGAATAACCACCCCCGAAGAAAATCACGTTCTCGTGTATTTGGGCGCTACCACCCTCCTCACTCAAGGTAAAGAGCACCACTTCAGCAACAATGTGGCCGCTCCGGCTCATACGTCTGTGGAACTTACACAGGGTATTCCACCAGGGGACCCCCGACCTCGTATTGACCACCTTGCAGCAACACAACCCGAGTGTCTCAATTCGTTCAACGCGGTACCTAGGGTCCACCGGGGCTATTGAAGTCCTCTTTGACAGGCTCCTAGTCCCCTCCTGGCTAAAATATTACAGAGCCCAACGCTGGTGCACCCCTTTCGTCGACGTCGCAAAGCGTATATTAACTGCTGATGCGCAGGACATCGCAGAGACGTGTGTTCAAATCTAGCGGTCAACAGGTATGTGGCCTCCGGAATCAAAAATTCCTAACAGAACCGGCTCTGCACCACAAAATGCATCGTCTGCGACGGCGAGCACCCCACAGGATACCCCAGATGCTCCTAGCGGTTCCAGAAACGCCGAGGAGCGCCTGGGCCACGAAGAGTCGACCCTATTCCGACATTCCAGACCCCGGTCCTTACCAAAGTGCCGGGCCCTATAACCTGGCCATGGCACCTCCTCATACAAATTAACCACCAGAGCAACACAGACCCCGGCAGCCACAAATCACAGCCGATTGAGATCCCGGTCCCAAAGCCGATTCCGAAGCTTCTCGGGGTCCCGATCCAGGACTGAAGCCCTTCAACAGCCACCCATAGACAGCAACCCAAGGCAGAAACCACCCCAGAGTCAAGCTACCCCCAGGGTTTCCGGTGGCACAAAAGACGGACCCATCGGGTGAGCTGGATAGATGTGGCTCGCTCCGCGTCTCCGAATCCTACCCCCTCCCCTCTCATCCCCACTTTTCGGGCAGAATTAGCATCCCTCCGCGCAGAAAACATCAAACTGGGCGAGGAGATCAATCGGTTAAAGGCTACGTTTAAGCCCTCAACCGTCCCACCAGCGGCTCCAGTTACCCCCTTTGTGTCAGCCCGAGGTTCACCCGCCAAAAAGCGCGCGGCCTCCGAACTTTCTTAATCAGATTTCACGTTATTCTATTCAGAGTGTTTCACTCGGCTCGAATTTAATAGACTAGAAGATATGATCAATGACAACCGGCAGGCTATCGAGACGCTAGCAGCACAATTTACAACCATAAGAACAGAAATCCTACAACAATCTACTTTAGCACCCTCAGCTTTTCGGCCGCAGGCGTTAGCATCACCTCAGTAACCATCATGGCTCCCTATCTAAACTAGTAATTTGGCAGTGGAACTGCCACGGTGCGCGCAAGAAACTGCTCAATCTCTTTCAACATGTCTGATCTATGTCTGAACCCCCCGCCCTAATTGCCTTGCAGAAAACAAACACCCAGGTACGCCTCCCAGGTTTCCGACCATTTCAACAGCCAGATTCGGAGGACCGCTTTGTTACCGCAATCTTAGTTCAGCGGAACAAAGCCTGCGCTCCTACACACTTCGACTGAGTGCCAATCCCCTACACTTTCGTCACCCTTTACCCAAATTGCAGACACCACAGCCGTGTTCACGTGCTTAACATATACCGCACCTCTTGTGAGCACAGACATCACTTCGGCTACCTTCTAGCGCTTGCTAAGCGCGAAACCGCCAAGGACCCGTTATTAGTCCTTGGAGATTTTAATGCTCCGCATCCGGCCCGGGACTACCGCCCCGATTCGGTCAAGGGAAGCGACTTATGGGCACTGATACAATCACACCATTTCACACTGCTTACAGGCCCCGCCTTTCCTCCCCGTATAGGTAAGATTGCTACCCGCGACATCTCTCCAGACTTAACGTTCATAACGTCATATTCAAGTTCGGTACGGTGAACAAACACGGAAACTACGTTAGGAAGCGACCAATTTATTTTAGCCACAGCAATCTAATTTCAAACACCCCGCACACGTTGCTGAGAGGTCATCCTAGTTCAGTGGGACCACATCCGGACGCTGCGAGAGTGCAAAGGAAGAGGACCTATTAAAGATATCCAACAATGGACGAAACAAATGGTAGACGACGTTCAAACAACAACAGAGCACCTACCTGAAGACGTACCAGCTCTTTCCGTAGACGCCCGTATAGCTTCACTAGGGCGCCAATATTTCCGCAAAGAGAATGCTAGGAAGAAGCAAAAACCCATTAGACAGCTCAAACTCGAGCTAAGAGCTTTGCGCACGTACATTGAGGAACACGCCCTCACGCTCCAGCGCAGCATATGGGACGACATCTGTGACCGGATGCAGGGGAGTCTCGGAACGCGTACTACGTGGCAGCTGCTCTGCCATCTACTCGACTCCACGACGGGACGAACAGAGCAGCGCCTGCGCTTGACGACACTCCTTCATAAATACCCTGGCACAGATGCAGACTTGACACAGAAAGTGCAGAAAAAATTCCTTCCCCCTTTCGTTACCAGCCCCTAGCGAGTTACCCTGGCATCGCCAATCCAGACCTAGACTGAGATTTCATCCATTCGGAAATCCGAGCAGCGATCCTCAATCTACGCGCAGCTTTTGCCCCCGGATTAGATCGCGTCACAAATAAAGCCATCTGTAACCTATACACTCCTTCCCTGGAATTCCTTACGGCCTATTTCAACGAGTGTTGGCATAACGGCGCCATCTCATTTTTCTGGAAACAAGCCAAACCCGTATTGATTCTCAAACCGGGCACGGCACTTGAAAACCTTAGCCCGATTTCCCTGACTCATTGCCTCGGGAAACTTTTCGAGCACGCTGTCCACACCCGCCTCACGCGATACTTAGAGGATACTGATCAATTACCTCAAACGATAGTGGGCTTTAAAGCTGACCTCTCTACACAAGACATCATACTACAGCTTCACCACGAAATAATCACTCCCCCTAAAACACTATGATACCCAGGCCACACTAGCCCTAGATTTAACTAAGGCCTTTGATCAGGTGTCTCATACTGCGATCCTACAATGCCTCGCCAGCACTAACCTTGTAGAACACGTCTATTACTATTAGAGACTTTCTCTTTATCGCCTCGCCACTCTCCAAATCTCGCTCCCCCGAAATCCAAAAAGGCGGAAAAGGCACCCCCAGGGAGCTGTCCTCTCTCCTTTACTATTCGATCTCGCGCTTATGTAACTACCACAAGCATTAGCTGCCATCCCGGGTCTTCATCATGGCACGTACGCGAACGACATCATCATATCGGTCACCAAGAGCAGTGATGCCGAACTGGAGGGAACCCTCAAGCTTGGTACGCACACGGTATTCACTATTGCCACGCAAGCTGGGTTAGCATGGTCTCCGACCAAATCTGCACTCCTCTTACCACATCCTACAGAGCGATCCCACAGTCTTCCCGATATCAGGGTGCATATTAACGCAAAACCGGTCCGTATTGTTACCACCGTGCAAGTGCTTGGGCTCCTAATTTAACGCACTCGTAAGAAGTCTGTTTTATCGCCAAAGTTTCCTCCCAAGTGCAACAAAGCATTCGACTCATACTATGAACCACTATGCGGCGCCAAGGGCTGTATGAGAAAGATTTGATTCGCCTGCTACATGCTCCTGTCCTGAGCCGTTTCACTTACACACTACCTTACTTACACCATGCGGTTTCTGAAACCCACAATATTGAGGTACTTATCCGTCAAGCATTTAGGGTCACCCTCTAACTACCACACAACGCCACCACACAGCGTCTCCTTAGCTTAGGACTTCATAACACCTGGTCCGAGCTAGTTGAGGCACACCGTACAGGCCAATACAAACGCCTCCCGCGCTCTCCCACCGGCCGTCAAATCCTATCCCGTTTGAATCTTAATCTCGTTACATAATGGACCCATAAACAAGCAATTCCACGAGCGATACACTCGCGCCTCGTGGTATGTTTCCTTCTGCGAAATGTGCACCCATATTTCACAGGGGTCGAGGACGAAGTAGAGCCTACATTCATCATTGGTTGTTTACTCATCGGCCGGAAGTACTTCATATGGACGTGGCTGAATACGGAAACCGGCCGGCATTCGCAGCCGTAGCGGTCACCTCAATGGCCCAGGTAAAAACTTGTGCCGCGATCTTTACTATTTCGCTGGAGTATTCGGAAGAGGCCGCCATTGCGCTTGCACTCACCGCCACGCCATGCCACAACGGTCTTCGTATACGTCTCAAAAGCCGCCATCCTGAATTTCGCTAAAGCTTACATATTTGCCCCGGCACAAATTATCCCCACAGCCAAGCCTTTTAATTCGTTTGAATCAAATGCGAGCCTAACCTGGACGCCAGCGCACGCGGGACCCTGCGGACACGAGTTGACCCATTCCACAGCCCGAGTATACACCGTCCGGGCGGGATGGATCCAGTTTCGAGATCACGGGACTCGTTCAGCACGCAACCGTCTTAGTCGTCTTCTATGACATTACCTCTCATTACCGTCTCTCCCGTCGCCTTTGCCCTCCTGCGACCCAACCCCTCTCCCGGAAGAGTGTGTTATACGGCGCCAGCTACCCAGACCCACTCCTTCCCCAGTCCTCTCGTCCATTCCAATATTTGCCGATCCCTCTACAATCTCATCTGCACTTTCTACAGCGCCAGGGCTACCATCTCCCATATATTATGGGCTTGCCCTTCTTTTCTTCCCTCTCCTTCCCCTCGGTGGAGCGGTGGGACTCTGCGCTACGCGGCTCAAACCCGACCACCTAATTGCCGGTGGTCGGTCGGGCTGCCGAGGTCGCCGAGGCCATGGGCTCTCGGACACCAGGTGTCGCTAACTGCCGAAGGAGCGCGGGCATAACCGCCTCCACCTTTAAAAATAAATAAAGTTATTTCGATCCATGTAACCCTCTCTCCTCCCTTCCAACCCTCACTGAGTGGTTCAACCCGCCATTGCTTCTCGACCCTGGCCGGGTACTCGCAGCATCACAGGCGCACCGTATGTATCTGGAAAACCCCGAGGCACCTCCATTTGGCTCCAGACTACTGCGGCCACACGAGTCCATGAACGCTGCCACTTGTCGTCTCGTTCTTCTTGGAAGCACCCGAGACAACTAAACGCTTTCCTTATGACAAAACAACAGGACGCATGTGGTCATTAAATAAAAACTTCTAAACAAGAAAAGCGCCGAGGTGTTTTTTTTTGCGCCCTCGTATGGTTGCCTCTCGTGATGCCATTACCTTGCGGACAGCAAGTTCAATCTAGGATGCCTTCATGTGCACTTTGCTTAGAGTGGAGACATCTGGCCATTTTGTCCCACGCGTTTATTTTTATTTTTTGCCCAGAAGCGCGTGAAAGAGCGTGTCCCTGCACGCGTCTGCAGCGCTGACTGCGCTATGGCGACATTTTGTTTTCGTCGATTTCTTTGTATTTTCCCCGTGAGCGCGTGCTGTCGGCATCGGGTACTACAAAGGGTGGCATCACCCTAAACTGAAGGACATTCAGGCACCTAGTTCGATCGTGTTTGTAATGAACACGGTGGAAGCTTGAAATCATAGCACTCTGAAACCAACGCTGCCAACACCGTAGAAATGGAAGTTCTTATGATCGCCCTTATTTCCGTCAATGATAAATCCTTTGCTGACATCACAAGTCTGCACTCGGCCACTCGCGGTAGGCCGACGACAGCGACGCTTTCGATCGCCCACGTCGCCATATTGAACGGGTTGTTAACCCTGTGACGTCGCTCGGTGGTAGTGCCTTCGCTTTACAAGCACCTGACCCAGGTTAGACTGCCCCGGGCGGCGGGCGATCTTTTTCGAGGATTCGGCAACATGATGACGGACACCCTACAACGCCAACTACAACATCAACAACTACAACTACAACCAGTACTAGAACATAAACAACTGCTAGATTAACAACGAACGACTTTTTCACTAGTGCGAAAATCCCATTACAGCTATTGCTCCAAAATTAGCAGGTGACAAAATGCCATCTCAATCTGTCGAGCTCGTGAAGCGGAGACGAGATTTCAAGCGCTCCGGAACAACGAAGAAGCAAAAGCGTTCAAAACAGAATGGTGAGACGTCTATTTTGTTCCGAACGCTTTTTGTTCACGCACCTCATGTTGTGTGAACGCGACGGGGATGCCCAACGACTTCGCTGTGACGTGTCGCCGCTATCGCTGTGACTGACTTTGGATTAACACAAAACTACTCATTTTTAAGACAAAGCTGAAGAGGTTCTTAAATAAAACGAGTTAGACGTTAATTCTAGAGTATTGTTATCCCGTGAATCTAAATAATCGTTTTCCCCGAACATGTAACTGAACGCGGATAACACGACAAACATCCAACCAGTCGACGTCACACCCAGATCTTTAGGCCGCTAAGCGTGTATCACGTTCGTGGGCAGCGCGGCAATACGGAGCGCAAGTTCGTCTGCTTCGTTCGCAGGGGTTGTGGTGACGTCAGAACGCTGATCTCTGATTGGCTCTAAGTGAATCATAGTGGCTGTACCTAAAAAAAGTAGCCTTTAAGTCTACCCACTAAACATCGATAAGAGTTAATCAGAGCTCTGCGTGCCGAACCTTCTACGCCGATCATTCCAGAAGCCAACGTGTGTACATAAGGCGCTCCGCGTGGCACGCCGGACTCAGTTTCGCCTCAGCGTTCGATCCTGCTACTTCGCCGCCTTCGACGCCCGCGACGCTTTGTTGTTATTGTTCTTTTCCTTTTCATTTTTGGGCAGAAGTTCCGCTCATTAAACGTTTGAGTTTCCCCAGTTATTCTTTGTTCCATAACCTCTTCATTCGTGACAATATCTCTTAAATTATTTTCCTATGCTTCTTGTGCATAGACATATAAAATACTTGGATAATAAAAACTAAGCAGTACTGGCATATGATGAATTTCACGCACTTAACGAAAAAGAAAAACACATAGTGGGAGTCATATTATGTCAACATGGTATGCATCTCATTTTATTTGTGTGCACTTCCTGTTACGTAAACTATTTGTCTCTCATGTCGAGACAGGTACCTCTCCAAACTGAGCTACTTCCACAATC